TGTGTGTGTGTGTATATATATATAATGTTTAAACCACTGTTTAGTTATTACATCATTACTTAAGATGACTTATTTTTCTGGTGGGTCTGTAGGTGACTTATTTAAATGTCATATTGCACTTACCTTATTTTAATACTTATATTTAAACAGAAGACAACTTCATTACTGCAATATCCAGCGCTTAGTCGTTGTAAAATGCTTTTTGCCTTTGAATAAATGTAGGCCTATATGGGCCATTCTACAGAATTGGTGCAAACTGCTGTCCCTTATCCAAAAAACACATTTGAAAAGCATTTAATTATTAAAATCTTAGATGTTTACTAAGATCCTTCAATTATCTATTGAAACCCACAATAATATTTAAGATATCAGTAAGCTTTATATATATAAAATCATCATTTATGGGCAACTTTCAATTAGGAGGTGGCTGTCCCAAACCCTAACCCCTAAATTTCAACTTGTGAAAATATTGAAATTTGTTTTGCACATTTTTCCATTCTTGTTTTTTTTTTTTAAAAATTTTTTAAATGAAGTTAAAAAATATATTTATTTTATATTTTACTTTTAAATCATGAAACTTTATCTAAAAAAAATGTGTCCTGGATTTTCATGTCACTACCAAAACAGTGAATGTTGTAGTCCATTGGCTAAGACTGATTTTAACCACACCCCTACATTTTTGATCAGGACATATTCCTGTGTCCCTCTCTCTCATGTGCTATAAGGTGGGTAGATTGATCCCATCATTTTGAAGTAAATGTGTTCTAAAGTCTAAAAAAATCTGTGTGTAACTTTAAGGAATGTCACTACCAAACTCATTTTTTCTGCTATTGAGAAAACTTTTTTGGATGTTATTCCATAAAATGTTGTTGTTATATGTGTTCAACTGTTCTGACCAGTGATTGCGAACCATGTGCTGATTAGCATCTTCGAGCTAGGCTCAAAAGTATCTAAAATTGTCACTACCGAAACATGTCTTGAAGTTTTGGTTGTGACATTATTGTTTTGGTAGTGACAAAAGGGAAAACATAATCCTTTATTTGTAGGAATAAACTACATTTTAGTACAGTTATGCAAATAATTACTACTGTAGTATGTTTTAGTGTTTTAGTATGCAAGATTCTGTTAAAATTCTGTAATGTGATGAGGTTACAATTACAGTCCATGATACTAGCTTAGGTGTAAGGTCAGTAATGTTACTTTCTATGATAAACTTGACAGGTAGAATGACATAAAACACCAACATGCCTTAAAGTCCCCGTGAACCGGAAGTTGCAAACGACTTTTCTCCAAGGGGGTAATCCATCGACCGGAAGTTGAAGCCGGCCGGGTGCCGCCATGTTGTAGCAGAACTTCACTTGCGTTAGCATTTCCATTGACTCCCATTCATTTTTGCGTCACTTTGACAGCGAATAACTTTACATCTGAGGCGTTTAAAGACTCCATTTGTCCATTATTTATTTCTAAAGAAACACGACAATGTATAAAGGGCTCCATTACCTTCTATGTTACACTATGGCCCCGTAGAAACAGATTTAGTAAAAATACTGCTTTTCTCCAGTGTTGTGACGTATTTCCGAGAGAAACGGAATACTAAATGAGGCAAAATGGTGGGCGTGGCTTTTCTCAACTAGCACCTGATTGGATCTAGAAAAGTAGGTGTTTTCATTCAGCCTGTCTACTGTCAGTTGGAGGGGCGTGGTTACGGATGTTAAGAAGACGCCCAAACCGTGAAACCTACGTCATCAGGCAAGGTCCTCCAACGCAGAGGGGAGGGGAAATCAGATTTTGATTAAAGATTACAAAGCCAAAAATTTTTTTTTTGTGTGGATTGACTTGCATGGATGAATTGTTCACCACAAAACGATCAATTTAGGCAAACAAAGTAAGTATGGTCAATTTTGAATTCATGGGGACTTAAAAAAAAAAAAGACAAACTACAACAGAGTGACAGAGAGAATACAAACAAAGGTTGAGGGAAGACCCAGTGAAGTAAGAGGAATACTTAAGGAAAGAAAGAGAAAGAAATAAGAAACGAAGGGAAGAAGGAAAGCTGAAGAGTATCAGTGAATTATCTGACAGGGAGCAAAGACATGTCAGAAAAGCATGAGGAAAAGACACTTCAGTGGTTCTAGAGATTTATCTGAATGAGGAAAATTATTCTGAAATTAATGTTTTATGGAAACACACACACACACACACACACTTCAGTGGTTCAGGAGATTTATCTGATTGACTTATAAACAAAATGTTGAAAATGTGAAAATAAAACAAAGTGGTTCAGAAACAGTCTACATTGTAAGTTGTTGGTGTTTTGTTTTAGGTAGACAAATCTATGAGCATAGCTCTTCTCACTTGCACCTCAAGACCCAAAGTACAGAATAGCTCTAGGTGTTCTTATAAGATATTTACTGTCAGATGTGTGTCTGCTATGTACTGACTGCATATGTGCATCATAGTTATTTATTTATATTAACATAAAATGTGGACAGTCTGATTCAGCCATGGCAAACTAAGTATTGTGGTCACTACCAAAACATTACTGTCACTACCAAAAATGTGCAGTCACTACCGTAACATGGGGTGTTTTGTCAAAAATAAAGTATATTGAATTATCAACTAAGATGTTATGATAGTGTTTGGTTCAATGCATATTCAAACTAATGAATCCTTAACTTTGAAATCAGTACGATAAACTTTATGCCTTCTACAAAGAAAAATTGGGTTCAAAATACAACAAATCTCATAAATTACACTTAAAATATTATTAAAATTATAATCTTTATTGATTTAACCTGTAAAAATATTTTTAAAAGATAGAAAAAATATATATTTATAAGGTAGATGTAAACAAAATCTTAATAGGTCATTATAAGCCTACTTAAAAAATTATTTAATATTGTGTTTCGGTAGGGACAAATTTGGGGAGAAGGAAAATATTCCAGCATTTTCTGAAAAAAACAATATGAGAATTAACTGCACAATTACTAGAAAAGTGTACCTTAGATATTATATAATTTGCATACATACAAATTTTTGTGGGAAAAAAACAAAAAAATGTCAAGATGTTTCCAACTCTGTGTTGACTCGGTGTCAAAACGATTAATCGTGATTAATTGCATCTAACATAAATGTTTTTGTTTATATATGTGTGGATTATATATATATATATATATATACACACACACAGATTATATAAACAAACTTTTATGTTAGATGCATTTGATCGATTTTACAGCACTAATACAAATGCATGTAAATGAGCTTGTGACAAATTCAATATTTGTTTTAGTCAATTACATACAGATAGTTTGGTATGCTCGATACTATAGGTGCTGTATCAGATCAACATGACTACTACTGTACATGATGAGAGTAGTAGTGTAATAAGGCAGTCATGTTTTTATTTCATCTTCTTCCAGTAGGTGGCGCCCTATCATACATTGTTCTCTATAGCCAATTCAGTTGTAGTAACAAACATCCTTGATGAGACCAAAAAAGACACTTGCCAAACTCGAGCACAACACCCACAGAAAAGCATCAAGACAGAACAAAAGACTGTTAACAATTAGAACTCCGTATAATTGTGAATCATATAGGCTGAAATGACACGCATTTTATTAAGAACTACACTTAAAACATTATTTGTTATGTCCATAACTCAGATGGCAGTGTTTCATGCATGAGGTGGCACTCTAGTAACAGACGTCAACGGTGAGCTTTACTGATACTAAAAACATTTATGCAGAACATCCTTCATTCACAGTTCTGTGTGCTGTCTGTCATAGTGAATCTGCCATTGCATTCAGCATGCCTACTGAAAGACTTAAAGATTAAAAACGATGCTTTATACAATTGTAGACCCCCAATTTGAGCATTTGTCAGGAGTATAATGATTGGCCATTTAATTATTTTAGCTATATTGCAAATCATCCCTTATTATCATGTACTTAAGGTCGAATGAATATTCAAATGCATATTAAAATGAACACTAGCTGACTATTGATTTTCAGAAGCCGTTTGAAGTTTCCCCAGAGATCCACCGGATATATTCTATAATTCCTAATGCTTCTTGTAGGACGCAGTAATGCGTTCTTTCTACTTAACCGAGAAATATTTCAGTGTATATAATAAAATAAACATACTGCAATCGTTTTCAGTCAAAGATGCCTATTTATTTTTATAAAAAAGACATGTTGAAACAGTTCGAATGTGACCACTTGGAAGCAAAATGCTACACCAAGTTAACGATTCAAAATATGACAATGAATGTAAAAAAAACAACATCTGAGAATGCTAAAAGAGAATAATTAAAAAGAATAAAATGTGGAAATGTTTGCATGGAATAAACATGGTAAAAGACCACTCTATTACCTACCAGAGAGACAGAGGTACATTGCAATTAAAGAAAGACTGCCAAGTGCTGGGGTAAATATATATAGATATATCTGCTTCATTTGTCAATTTAGATCAATAAAATATAGGCCTCTGGGTACCTACTGTACTCTTTCACCTTTGTTCTAATGTTGCCTGCAAAAATACCAAGAAACAGTGACATCCAGACATCTCTTTTTAAAAAGTACACATTGAGCATTATTTTACATCTGCGCAAGTAGAGACTGAGAAGTCAATATCCGTTACAAATAGTTATCAAAAAGAAGACTTTCAAATGTTATTTCTGCAAGACGCTTCAACAAGAAAAATGGCTTTCCTGTCTCCAAGCTTATTTCGTATACCATTATATATATATATATATATACACACATACATATATATATATATATATATATATATATATAAAACAATGATAAAAAAAAATCATTTAAAATATACACCGAGAAATGAAAATAAAGAATTATAATAAAAAAAGCATTCAAAATAAACTTGAACCCAAGATGTTGAGGAGAAATCAAAACATCGACCCTTTTTGCACCAATGTGTCAAAATGCAAAACGCAACCTACGGAGACTGTTTCCAGGGCAACGCGTGATCCCTAAAATGTTGTGTGGCGTGTCGGGTCCCCGCTATGCTACATTTTACGGGGCACGAGAGGAAGTAAGGGAGTGACGTCGTGAACACACAGAAGAGACAGAGGTGCCAAATAACTTAGAATAACTTAGGAACAGGTGTAGGAACGTGTGTGTTTGTGTACATGTGCCCATATGTGCGCTTTACAAACGGTCGAGGAACATAATCAGTGCAACGCCTTCGGCTTCAGGAGTGAATTCAGGACAGAAAACAAAAAAAAAAACTTAAAAGGTATTCACGGGTCTGCGTGAGGGCCTGTGTTGGTGATTGTCTGTTCTCAGTTCAACGTCTCTACAGCAGCGCCTGCAGCCGAGGAGCAGATTCAAGGACCGGGACCCTCTGGATATTCCTCAGGGGTCAAGAGGTGACGGAGGGGTGAAAGGTTGAGGAGTCTAGCAGGCTTCCATCTCTAAAAGGGGGCCTGTAGCTGCTGTCTTTGCTTTGCAAGAGGAAAAAGAAGTCCGTTTTCCTCCTGTAGAACACAAATGAGAGGGAAAACGTGGTTAGATATTAAAAATTATATATTAAACTTTAAGGAATAATTCACCCAAAATTGAGAATTCTGTATGTTTTTTTTTTAGGTCCATACAGTGTAAGTCAGCGGTCCAGTGTTGTTTTGGACCCCTATGACTTTCATTGTATGGTAAAAAACTATGGAAGCTCGTTTCCGCCACAGAATAAAACATTTTAGAAGATAATTGCGACTTTTTTTCTCAGAATTGTTTATCGCAATTCTGAATTCTGAGTTGATTATTCTGAGATGTAAACTCACAATTCCAAGAAAAAAGTCCTAATTACCTTTTTTATTTTCTATTCTGTGGCGGAACAAGCTTCCATAAAAAACTACTGAAACGTTTTGTTTGGAACAACGAGGGTGAATAAATTATTTTTTTTAGGGTGAACTATCCCTTTAATAAATACACACTTTAGACCTGCAACAAATTAGGCACATTACCATATTATTTTATTCGTAAATCAATATCATAATCAAAATGTCACAATTCATAGTACATTTTGTATATCAAGTACACAACATGCAGGATAAAATTTTAGTCTAATTTCTGATTTTTTCCCACGCATTATGATTTGTGTATTGCACATGAGGACATTTAGAGCAAAAACAAAGCAAATTTACAACAAATTGGCGCACTCAAAAACGTCCCCTAGCATGCCATTTTGAAAGAAAAAGAAATCCCCACGTCCAACATTAATCAAGAATTGCGTTCTCAGAAGCCCAAAGTTTTTCCATCACAAACTGTTTGTCCAATCAGAATCCATTTTTGAGATGTGAAATATTAAATGTATCAGACTATTTTGGTCGACAAGCTGTATGGGGCTATTTCAGAAGTGCATCAAATGGAATTCCTGATCAAAGTGAGAAGCAGGAATACAGGAGCAAACCTCTGATGGATGGAGCGAGAGAGAGAGATATAGAAGACAGACAGATAAAATGCAAGACTAGTAGCGGACTCCTCCCTGGAGCGGAGGTCGAACGCAACCTTTTTCAGCGAGATGTCAGTTTTGCTCCACAACTGCACCCTGGACCACTTTCACACATAAATACACTCGTACACCCATGTGGACGGCTTTACCACATGTGGATGAAAGGCAACTACTTTTCCAGGGAGATCTGACCCTGGTGCCGAACGAGGATAGAGAAAGAGAGTCTCGGAATAAAGTGAGCGGGGACGCTTTTATTTACCTCCCTGCCCACCCTTTTCATCCTATGATCTCAAAGCTTCCCTGTGCCCTGCGCCCCCTTCCTGGAGAGCGTTTTCCTTCCCGGCCACAGATGAAAAAAGTTGGCAAGCTTTCCTGCCTTTCCCCGCCAGCCCCCTGTTGGAAGGGGAGGGGAGGGGGCGCGTCGGGGTGTTTGGAGAGGTTAGGACGGTGCCGTCGGGCCACGCTTTACAGTCCTTTCTGATTCAAACGCAGGGATTCAAGAGCTACTTCCCATTGGCGCTGAGGAATGTCGAGGCCCTGCTCGCAGGAAATGAAACGCTCCTCTGTATTCGAGGGCCAGCCTCTCTCCGTCCTTCTCTTCGGCTCGCTCTGCGGTAGCGAGGCTGTTCTTTGAAGTGTGGGAGGTTAAGATAACAGGCATGGCCCTGTGTCACTCAATTGGCCCGTTCACCTCCCGGGGCAAATCAAAAAGCCTGCAGCTGGGACCAACACACCTCCTTCCCCCCCGGTCTAACCCTTCCTTTTCCACAAAAACCAGAGAAGGCGGCTTGATGTGGTCTGAGAGCAAGAAAAAAATATTGTTCTGAAAAACTGGAGAAAGTGGGCTGCGGTTTTACGTTTGCCGCTAAATTTCCACTGTGCGCAGCTCAAATGCTATAACCGCGTACATGTGCAGTAATTGGTGGGTTCACTAGGAGGCAGCACTAACAGTTGGAAAGTTGATTTCAAAAATTGTCAATGATAATGGAAAGGGAAAAAAAGTGCTGTAAAAAAAAATCACTGGAAATTAGCCAAGAATACTCAAAAAGGTTTTTTTTGTTGTTGTTTTTTTAAGTCTGCATATCTGAAAAACAAAAATGGCTGGAAAGGATTGTTAAAATTATTTTGATTTTAAATATAAAGTAAAAAAACAAATCTGCCCGTGCAGAATGACAAAATACACTTACAAAATCTATGTTAAATAAAACTTATAAAAACAAGATTTAAAAAAAATGTATCGCTTCTAGAAAATGCATTTTGTATTAAAAATACATTCTCTGAAAAAAAAACGTATATATAATGCAATGTTGCATCTCAAGTAAATGTAAATATATTCTGTCTTAAGGACAAACTTGTTCAAAATCCAAAAATAATAATAAGTCAAGGGTGAAAATGACAACAAAAGCTGTGCGAAGAAGTTGAAAGATTTGTACATCTCGAGTTTGACAGCATAAAGCGGACACAAAACGGTGCTCACCTCTACAGGTCAGGTGATGTATTACAAAACTGTCCTAGTGTGCATGCTTCGAACGTGGGCTCAGGGTCAAAGAGAACGTTGAACTGTTCGAAGTAACAACAGCCAGAAAAACTACGTATAGTGGGGTACCTAAAAATCTCGCTTCTGGTGTAAAGCAACTGTTTCTACAGACACGGAACTGGAGAAGGTTCAAAGCTTTACGATGAAACACTGGCAGGGAATGGGAGTATGGACGAAGAGCTCGTATCTGGGTTGTGTTAAGCCTAGTCAGCTGAAAAGGTCCACTTTCACACCAAACTGACTTTGGACCAGTGACCTTGTGTTGTAGCACTTGGCTTCGTTTCTGGTTTGGCAGCGTCTTTCAAGGAGTCCATAAAAATTCAACAGGCACTCAATGATCTGCGAGGAGGAGGACGGGTTCAAAAAACCCCGGCCTGAGTAATAAAAACAGCACCTGGATGAAAAATCGGATTTAAACAAACCGCTTGGGTTCAGTCAGCACTTCCTTTGGCCCTGAGACAGTAACATCAGGGAAGGGAAAAACTCTTACAAACTCTTATACGTCTGTACAACTGCAAACCAACCGTGGCAGTGGCCTTTCTGCTGTGATCTCTCTAAAAAGGCAGAGGAAAGAATGTTCCCCTCAATACAACAACAAAAAACATCAGGTGAGGGTAGAGGACGCGAAGGCTTGAGTGGGGTCTGCCCACATCTGAGGAGCGGTGGGATGGGAGCCCGGGAACGACGTGCTCCTGCAAAGCCTGAGCTGCAAGCCAGGGCGGCACTATCAAAGAGCAGCACAATGACTGCTCCCCTCCACCGCCCGGACGCTTCAAAGGAGGAGCGGGGGACGAGGAGCGGGGGTTACGCCTGCTTTCACAATAGGAGCCAGATTTACTCCCTAGGAGAGGAACTCCAGAAAAGAGCAGACGATGGCTGGGGCGTGGAAGAGCGAGAACGACAGAGGAAACGTAGTAGACGCCACAAGGTTTGCTGATTCCTCTGCTGCTTGGCGTGCTACTGTGGGTCTAACATCTGGAACCATCCAATGATCTATATGAAGGATCTAATGGGGGTGATTCGCATATTGAATTCAACAATTTCTGCAAGTTTGTTCCTTGTACCTACATACCAGCAACTCCCAGACTCTTTTTATAGCGCTGCAGAGGTTCTTGGCAGCAATACATGGAAGGAAACCTCTGGGTTTCCGCTGCCCTCAGTGATATTAACCAGTTTATCGACAGTGACTCATACTTGAGGGTTTAGCATTGCGCTGAATTGAATTGAGAATTAATTTTCAACTTGAAGTCAGTTCCTGAATTTGGATTGATGTAGACAAATGTTTTTGATTGAGGAACTATACAAATCAACTGAACTTTTTTCCTAGAAATGCAAAGTATGTCAAAACAAAGTCTTGTCTGAAATTTTAAAAACAGACAAAGTCTTGACAGATAGATAGCAGACAGAGAGACAGATACAGATAGATGACAGACAGACAGATAGATAGCAGACAGACAGATACAGATAGATGACAGACAGACAGATAGATAGACAGATATTTGTATTGTTGATATATTTCATCATACTTGATAATTACAATTTGTTGAGTAGGGTGGAAGAACACTTTCCCATTTACCAGAGTAAATTCAGTAAAACCCTGTTCTTGTCAGTTGAATTGAAATTCCAGTTCAACTTCCTGTGTGATGTGGCCATTAAATTAAAATTTACACTCATGAATTGAAAGGGAACCAATTCTTTGAATTCTGCCCAACCCTGACTCTAGTTACGTGTTTTTACTCATGCAGGTCCAGTTGAGGTCCAAACCTTTCCAATCCAAACATTTCTGGTAAAGAAACTCAAGGTACTTCGTTCCAGCTTTCTATAAATTGAAAGGGTTTTCAGGCACAAAGAGTATCAGTTATTCTGCCATTCATGTGCCGGAGGCAGAGTGGACATTAAAAAGAGAGACAGGGCGCTCTCATCAGCACACAAGGGACTTTCAGTTTCTCCCTCTCATGCCTTTTCATCAAAGGCTGACATCTGACTTCTGGCCTCACTCATCACAGACACAGAGCTGGATAAAGACGACCCGATTCGGGCACAGCTGTCCAGCAGCACTTGCTTCACAGAGCAGGCAATGACCTCCAAAGTGCCCAGTACCTCCAACGGTCTCCCACACTGCCCCACTATTGTCAACCTCTGGGACACTGAAAGCTTTCAAACCTTCGGCCGACCACTCCCAATAGTACGGTAAGCCTCATATAGGGGCTTGCCAACATCATCAAACTCGGGCGAAGAATGACGCTATAAAAATCAAAAGTGAAACGCCGCAGAACAGTCATCGTAACACAGAGTCAATGTCCAGGTGGCAACAAAGCAGCATGTTGAAATGTGCCAGACTGTCGTGACTCACAACCTTGGCTTCTTTGAATGACTAGACTACATCTTCAGCGCCAGCGTTCCATTAAAAGACCAGCATTGTTACATGGCTTTCCCCGTTCCCAATGAAAAAATAAAAATGCACAGTGGCAAAAAAGTAACAGCCCTGAGGGCATGTATGCCCCAGCTCAGATAACAATCTCAAAGCCTGCAAATCACAAGGGTTTGTCAGACAAGAGCTCTCACAGCTAAATCTGAGAAACAGACAGTAAGAACAAGAAGAGGATGTGGAAATGTTGTACGAGCAGGAAAAGTGGGATGTGCGAGGAAGAAATTTCTATAACCTAAAATTACTCCAATGTGCATTTTTGTTTTTAAGTCAGAGTTAAGGATTATGTGTCATAAGGCATCTAATAAAGACCGAGCCTGTCCTTCATACCAAAAATAAAAAACACCAATGAAAATACCTCAAATTACTCGTTTTCTCCCTGAGAAATCCCCTATTTTCCACCCTGAATGTCTTACACATACATACTGAATTCCTGTGAAATCTAGTAATAGATACACTGCAAAAGATGTTTTTAATTAGTCCCTTTTGACTCGTTTTCCTGGAAAATATCCAAACATTTTTAAATCAAGATTTTAATTGTTGTTTTTTTTAAAGTACATGTACAATACTATTCAAAATGAATGAATGTACAATACCGTTATATACAATTTTATTCTGTAAGGACTGATTAAAGTGATCAGTAAAGACTTTTATAGCGTTACAAAAGACTTATTTTTCAAATCAATGCTGTTCTTTTGAACTGTCTATTTATCAAAGAATCCTGGGGGGGGGGGGTCATGTTTCCACAAAAATATGGCAGAACAACTGTTTTCAACTTTGATAACAATAAGAAATATGTTTGAGAATCAAATCATCATATTAGAATGATTTCTGAAGGATCATGTGACACTGAAGACTGGAGTAATGATGCTGAAAATTCAGCTTTGGTCACAGGAATAAATTACATTTGAAAATGTATTCAAAACAGATAACAATTATTTTTAATTGTAACAATATTTTACAGTATTGCTGTTTTTGCTCAATTTTTTTCACTAGATGTGCATTTAGTTTAAAGAATAAAGATTCATTCTCTAAAAATATCTTATTTAGCGTTGCTTCAGGTAAATTTATCTTGTTTTAGGGTCTTTTAACTGGATATTTTAACTGGAAAACAACCACAAAAAATACTCGTTAAGAATAGGATTTTTTTGCACTATATACAAGCTATTATGATCCCATCAATTATCAAAAATGTTATCACATTTGTGAGGCGAATAAATGAAGACAAATTTGATGTTTCGCAGTCTGTCGGATCTGCATAAATTGACAAGCAGTGGCAATATTCTCTGTTTTATGTATATTAGTTTAAGGTTGCCACGTTGAATCAGCTGGAGCGTCAATCCCCAGTTCACTAATTACTGAACCGAAGATAGAGCGCCTTTTAGCTGTGTTTTCAAAGCTCTTGCAGCCCACAGAAAGAGAAAAAAAATAAGAAAGAGTGTGAAACGGTCCAATTTGTGTTCGGGAGCCACAGGGTAGTGAACTGATCAAACGTAAAACCTTTGTCTTGTAGGTTTTTTGGGAAGGACCATATTTGTCACATCTGTGCAGCTTTCATGACAAAAAGAAGTGGAAAAGCAAGATGTGGGGTGACTTAATAAGAGGGAAAATAAATATGTTCTCTTGCTCACTACTGTCCTCGATGCTGAAAGACTTTCACATGACGATTCTCTTCTTTGTTTAGAGAACTAAATTCTTTTAGGCCAGTTGCTGGTTTAATCGCTAAAAAATTAAAAAGCAAAGCGCAAGCCAAATTTGCTGGCAAGGGCTTCATTCATTCACAGGGTTGGCTAGATAACACATGGGGGCCATATGGGTGAATGCTAAGAGAGTTAGCTCACATCTGGGTCGACTCTTTCAAAACCATCCCAGTTTCCAAATGTTCTCAAAAAAGCGCCAGTCAAACATGGCTGTGAGCCACAGGATTGTATGTTAATGGTGCATGCCAAATATTAATGATGGAAGGAATGAATGAGGAACGAAACCTGATAGTGTGGACTTGACGTTCTGAGCCGACTTTGTCAAGATTATTCTGTTCTGTGATCTTTCAAACAAATGGTACGTTTGATAAAAGCATTGGTCTTCTGAAAATACTAACTCGTCACCCAACGCCACAAGCCACACATCAGTGTACAGGAAAAGGGATGTAATGGAGTTCTTAAAAACAGAGTTAGGAAAGAAAAATGACTTGTCACAACAATTCATCAGTATGTTCATAAGAGTAAACCCTTTAACAATAGCGCTCACACACACAAAGCAAACAACAGCTTTTGTAATACAACAGTGAATGGTTGATTGGTGAACTCAAGGTTTGCCTTTAGGATTAGTCTCATGTATTTCTGATTGCCAAGAACCACATTAGAAAATCATGACTCAATCAGTCCAGAGGTACGGAAGAGGCTCTTACCATTGTTCAGATGTACGCCGTTTTCATTCTCTGGCCTGTACCTGCAGGAAATCGTAGCTTTTAATTACCAGGATGTGCCTCCAAGTAACATATAAGTCCATCTCTGGTCTTAATTGTCAATGTAGGGCCAACAAACATAATTTGCTGGCATATTTAACACATCAGCATTGTTCAATAAAGGAAGAGTTCAACCAATAATGAAAACTCTGTCATAATTTACTCATCCTCATGTCATTTCAAACCTTTATGACTTACTTTCTTCCAGTGAACACAAAGGGAGAAAATCTGAATAATTTGCTGAACGAATCATTCAGGATGGTTCTTGTGAATTGGATTAAACGATTTATTGTAAAGATCTGACACAAAAGAACGTTCCATTCACAAATTAAACATCGCTACAAATTAGTCATAAGGACACTTTAAAGATAGCTTTATGGCATTTTTTTGTGTGTAATTTTGTAGCTAGAAAGCCCCAGTACTCATTCTTCAAAAAATTCACCTTTTGTGTTCCATAAAAGAAAAAGTCATATCCATTTGAAAAACATGAGTGTAAATGATGCCAGATGCCATTTTAATTTTCATTTGGGTGAACTATCCATTTAATTCCATTATACACAACTCTAAATTATCTAGATTTAGCGCCAGATATACATTGTACAAGCACACATTGCAAATGCATTTATAAAACGGCAAATAGCCAGAAAAGATAGAAACAATGAAGGAAGCATGTGGACTTTAAAACAGACTAATCCTAAAGACTTAAATGTGAGGAGAAGATGGAAAGATGGAGTGGTTGGGTGGGGGTGTACTGTTCATAATGTTGTGAAAATTACAAATTAAAGAAATGTACAGAACAGTAAAACTGCAGACTTGTGGATTTTCAGGCAACCAACAGAGTCATAAATTCATAAATGTTCATGTTGACTTTAGAAATGTTCTGAAATGTTGGAATTCGCTGTGTGAACGCATATATTGAGCGTGTGGCATCCCATCATTAACCACTTGTTACCATTTACACAAACTAAGTGACATTAGCTAAGTTGGTGTGTACATTGATGAAATAGGACAAATTACAGCCAGAATGGAAGGTCTCTGAGTCTTACCTGGGGCAGGTTCCTGGATCTTTTCCCGCTTCCGCTTCTTTTTCTTTCCCTATGAAACAGCCAGAGGAATATTTAAAGGGCCGCCACGAAAGCATGACTCTTCTGCCATTTGTCAATTGAAAAAAATACTCCTTAGTAAGCTGAACTGTAATAAAATAAAATAATAAATAAAATAAAAGTCCAATACCCCATCCTAATTCTTCTGGATTCCATGTTCTAATCACCAATCAGAAAGTTAAACAAGAATAAAACATCTGCCCCTGCTCCAATTGACACGACAAACACTCCTCCAGAGTGAGAAGTCTGGACTGCTTTAGGATTTGTAGCTTACCCAAAATCCCCTGGCAGGATGACTATAGGTATAGATAGTGCCGCACTGTCATTTTGCAGTCCAATATGAGCCACGCTTTGGTTGCCTGCTGTAAAGTCTGATAATCCACTTATTCAGTCACTAATCTGTGTATTCTAGCCCTGGCTGACAGAACCAAGAAGCCCAGAGCAGTAGAAGCGCCGATGACAGAGCAGGGATACGCTCAGAATCCTTAGCACTATTAAATACAAGTGTGCTCCCACCACTAATATATAAGTGGAGATGAAAGTTCATCTGTCTTTGAAGTGTTTCGTTTTAGTCCTGTTGCTTTTCCATTTGGTGATTAGTGTGAAAGCCAGGTTTTAGTTTTAGCATCACATCCTGGCACTTCATATATTGAGGGAGATTTATGCCGGTTAAAACTTAACACCATACATTTTGGAGGTGAATTCTACAAGCCTTGATATCTGCAACACATGTGCAAACTAAAGGAATAATTGTATATAGTTAATAATATTGAGTAAATGGTTAGCATTGTGTTAGCATTATATCCTTTCTGGAAAACCACCAGCTTTTCTTACTGAGGTTCAGATTGTGACAGTGTTTTCATGAGTAACTGCCTTAGTGTCGCTCTAAGTAAAATGGCTATTCACATCACATCCCAAAATTTTGGCATAATGAAATGCTTATAGAGCTGGTAAGTCCCGCCCCTTCCGCTTACCCCGCTGGACTTCTAGGTTAAAAAATCGTCAATGCAAGTGAATGAGAGAAAATAATTATTTTCTAATCCCGTTTGAATTTTGCAATGAATGTAAAAAATATGTTGTCTGTGAATTTTTTATATAATTTTTCGTGTAAAGAATGGTACAATTTAGCGGGTAGGATTTTCATACGGTTAGACTTTGTGTGAGAGCACTTTGTGGACTACAACTCTTCGCTGCTTTCGCCGCGTTTGATATACGTCACCACCACTAGCACACGGATCCCGCTAAACAGCCTGTTTTGTTTGAATGGTGACATTTGGGTACAAAACACACAGGCATCTCGATCTAATTCCTTAGATTATCGCACCGTGATTTGTGGAGGGAAAATGTGTTATGCGGTGACGTCACATATGCGACGTGTAGTCTTTCTCGTTATGTCTATTCCACAACTGCTAGCCAAAGAATCATACAATATACTGTCAAACTCGTTACATGAGAAATTATATAAAAATTCACAGACAACATATGTTGTCACATTCAAAATCACATTCATGGCACAATTCAAACGGGATCAGAAAATAATTATTTTCTCTCATTCACTTGCATTGACGCTTTTTCAACCTAGAGGGCCACTTGGAGTTTTATGGATGGGCGGGACTTACCAGCTCTATAACAAGATGCAAGTGGCCTCATTCATGTACCATAAGCTGAATGGATGATTGTAAATCGTTGTGTAAAAACATTCTAATTCAACAATTGAAGAATTGAGTAAATTGTTAATAAAAGCATTTGTATGAAAACTGTCACATTCAACGCAATTTGTAAAAGAGCATATTTACAAACAATTTACACAAACTTATCAGGCTTGTGTTTCGTGAATCAGTCATAAAACCAACATCACTTAAATTGGCATAATTCGCGCAAGAACATTTTCAAGAACAATTTACACAAATTCATTCTGCTCATTTCCGAGACTCGAGCAGAACAAATTTATCATCAAACCATGCTTATGTAAAGGATCACTTTCAGTGCAACAATTTACACGCAATAATTTTTTTTTTTTTTTACAAACGATTAACAATTCTGCTTGTGTTTCTGCCTCATTTATGAAACTCAAGAAGAATGGATGTGTAAATCAGCCATACAACCCTTTGTTTGTACATTTGTATGAATACATTCAATCCAATAATTTACAGAAAAGCCTTTTTTGAACAATTTTGAACAACGTTTCATGAATGAGTCCCAATAAAAATCCTTAAAAAAAAAAAGATCTGAATAACCATCAATAGTAGTCATTGTAAAACAATGATCAGCCTTTTTGTTAAGGCCAAGTTGATATATTTTTTAAATTAAATACAACAATTTGCTATCTATCTTGTGAATATTTTCATTATTTAAATATATATTTGAATAGGATTTTAGACTTTTTATACCTACGGTTACACTTTTACAATTTTAGTGTCCTTGTTACACGTTACATGTAGTTACTGTAGTAATAACTTAAATTATGCATAATTACATTCAACTAAACCAACCCAATTCCTAACCTTATAGTGAGCACATGTAGTTAACTATTATTACTCAGTTCTTTGAATTGAACACCTTAAAATAAAGTGTAACCAAACCTACTTGTTTTACAACAGTTTTTCATAAAATTAACCTTCAGACTACAAAACAAACAACATAGACTTGTGAATCGTGTCATCTGTAGTAGCGAGTATGCATATATTTTCACTTTTGAAGACATTCACTGCGAGCATTATATTTACTCTCAAGCAATCAACACATGACACAACTCTCACTCTCAGGCAGTGTGTTAGTGTGGACACTTACATAATTGTCTCTGGCAGACCATCCTGGGTAAAGCTGCATATGGAGCTGCCGTTCCTTGCGGGCTAATTCGTAATACTTAGCTTGCTCTTCCCGAGATAAAGCATGCCACTGTTCGGTGCAGAGGGAGATTAGAGAGAGGGGGGGAAAAAGTAGTCAATTACTGACATGCACTTTTAAGTTCCTTCCAAAGAGTCGCATGCTGGCGTTTGGCTAAAAATCCTTGTTAACTCAAATGTTGTGTGCGCGTGTGTGTGTGTGTGTGTGTGTGTGTGCGTGTGTGCGTGCCTGGGGGTGGAATGGAACATGATGAAGAGATTAACATATGCAGCGATGAGAGAAGGGAAGAAAAAAAAAAAAAAACACGAAACTTTGATTTCATATCAAAACACTGGTTCCAATTTAGCGGCGCTTTACTTCAAACCATGTCAGGGTGCAATTACCCCACACCACCGCAAAACGGTCCTTTGCTGTGGCTAGCCGCCTCAAACCGCCATAAAGCATTAAATATGTTTAACGGCTCCTCTTTTTCCAATTCCGAAAAGAAGGATAACACAGTTACCAGCTACCTGCTCAAAGCCCCCAATTTCTGAACCGCCAGCTTGTGTGTTGGTGTACTTGTTATATTGAGTTAAACAGATGTGCTAACTATGATAGAGCCCTTCGTGAAGGAAGTCTCGTGGTGCAAGAGACCCCCAGGCGTGAAGGCGAACCACATACGTACCCTCCGGCCGAGGATCTGATTGATTGCGGCGCTCTCCTTCAGCGTGCATTCGGCCACCACATTGGCACGCATCTCTTTCATATACAGCATGAAAGCGTTTAGAGGTTTCTTGATGTGAGGTCTTTTGGGCTCCTGCTCCTTTCTCTGCTCATGCTGAGATTTCCTGGAGAAACAGGAGGAGGAAAGAGTTAAAAAAGGGGGGAAGAATTATTAAGTGATACAGGGAAATACAAAGGGGAAAACCGCTCAGAGGGAGGTGCGAAAGCGGCTGCCACAGCGCCGCCATGGCGTGTGAGAGTGCCGAATGTCTGATTCCAACCACCAATCAGAAAGCTGCATGAGAGAACAATATGTGGGAGCCAGTGCCGAAAAGCTAGCAGCGGCTTTTAATTATGTCCATTTGGGTGCTTTCATGCAAAGAGATTACTTCACCAGTAATGGCAACCAAACCTTCATATTCCCTCTCTCTAGTCTACGAGAGTCCCAGTGTTTCACTCCCATTGGTGACCCAGAGCTGATGCGTCTTGCCAACTGCACGACTCATAATCCTTGAAATCAGATGCACCAAAAATAAAACTTGAGCTGACTGATAAATAGCCAATATAATACAGATCTATTATATTTTGTGTGAATAGATCAAATCTAAATCCGAAAAACTAAAATCAATAGTTTTAAAGTCGCAATGAAACGAAAGTAGCAACAGATCTTTTGATTCATATTGACAGATTATTGAAAAAATGTTGGGTGGGACATTGAGATGTGGGCGTTGCACTCAAAAGTGGAGGCTTGCAAGGGCAGGGTTTAAGGCTTTGTCCACACGGAGAGGCGTTTAGCTGTATACGTAAACATTTTGTATCATATCGGCGTTTCGTCCAGACGGATCCAGCGTTTCGGGAGCCTGAAACCGCTATTTTTTAAAACCGGGTCCCAGAGTGGATAAATCTGAAAACGACACCCTTGCGTTTTTGTGTGTACAGCCATAGCCAGCCAACATATGATGGCAAACTATTCCAAAGTCTTGGCGCTACTACTGCAAAAGCCCGATCCCCTTTCTGGCTTAACTTAGTCCGTGGAATTTTCAGCAACTTTTGAGTTGATGATCTCAAGGCTCTTCCCGATTGATACTCTATTAACAGAGCTGATAAATAAGTCGGTGTAAGATCATGGAGTGATTTATACACCAATAAAAGAAGTTTAAAATCAATTCTATATTGTACAGGAAGCCAATGTAGAGCGATCAAAGATGGAGTGATGTGTTCTCGTTTTTTAATATTCAATAATAATCTCGCTGCCGCATTTTGGACCTTTTGCAGCCGTAAAATAGAAGCTTGACTAATACCCTTATATAAAGAGTTACGATAATCAAGTCTTGACGATATAAGTGCATGAATAGCAATTTCCAGGCTCTTATACGTCAAACACGATTTCATCTTAGCCTCATCTTGTGAAACGATGATGTCATCACCCCACGTGTCGACCCTAGTCAGATACCGCTACGTCACGTAACAGCAACAACAACTGCTGCAGAAGCTACTGAGCCCCGTTTTATTTATATTTATTTATTATTTACTTGTATGTATTTTTATTTAATTTCTTTATTTTACTTCTTTATTTATTCATATTTTCTTTCTTATGCTATGATGCTTGTCTGTTGTCCGATTAGACATTTCATATTTTGTACTAGGGGAGTAGAAGGGACTCACCGCGCCTTAAAATTAGTCCATATGAGGTGCGTAGGCAAAAAATTCCAATTAGAGAGGCACTTCAAGAGAGTCCGCACACTCCACCAAAGACAAGAGACGTCAAAAAGCAAGATCAAATCAAATGCTTTTACTGAAAATAGTGGGAAACGTTTCGGTCACATGTGACCTTTCTCAATGCCAAGCTTACAACAAAACATTTTGCTATTTAAGGGTGGGGTAAGCGATATTTCAAAAACGCTGTTGGACATTGTTGATATTTGAAATCAAAACAAACACACTCCTCTCTTCATTGCTCCGCCTCAAAAAAAAAAAAAAAAATCACACTCCAATCCTAACCGCCCTGCTCCGAGTCGGTCTCGAACCTCGATCACCAGCACGCGAGGCGAGTGCACTAGCAATGATGCTAAACACAGCATCAAGCGCAACAAAATAATGCTTCATGAAAAATAAAGCGCAGATGAAGAACGAATGACGATGAAGCACAAAAAAATAATCACGTACAGTACACGATAGTTTTTACAAACAAGGGTTTGTTGTTAGTTGCCAACAGCACAGCAGCTCCAGACAAACGATGACGCTCAAACCCAGTGTTACTCACGTGTAGAGCGAATCAAAGCAACGTCCGTGTCTGTTTTCAGGCCTTCCCACTAAGCTCTCTCCGGCGCTGGACATCTTTTCTAATATTAACGCGGGTCCTAAAGCTCTTTCCTGATCATAACCCTTCATTTTCCAGTGATTTCTTCTGAGCTTTTGTATTGCGTCTCATCTCTTTTATGTCTTTCTTCAAATCTCCCTCTCTTGCTTGTCTCTCTCCTCCACCGTCATACGCCCCCTAATGCTGATTGGCTACACACGTTTGTTGTTGTTTGTGTCGGTCGGACTAACTTACAAACCGCATTTTTCAAATATATCGCTTACCCCACCTTTAAATAAATAGTGTTTTTAAAGATTAACTAGATGACGTAAATAAGCATGCACAAATAAATATACTATATCACCCAATATTAACCAATATCAATAAATTGAAACAAAAAAATCTCTAATATTGGCCAATAATCAGTGCTGTGTAAATATCTGTGCGATCAGGAAACATAATTGATTGTATTTTTAGCATGCTGTAGAAAGCTTGCGGCTGAACGGACGAGACACTCACATGTGCATCAGGTCTGTGTCGTGATGCGGTTCGTGTTTCACCTGCGGGTTGACAATGGCGGGATGGGGGATTCCCGTGGCATGGGGTCCAGGAGGGCCTGGTACCATGTGATGAGAGAACCTGAAAGTGAAAAATAATGCGTGTGGGTTAATGTGTCATTCACTATCCGTATTCATAGCTAATATTAACCTTTTGAATATTCATGCTCTCAAAATAAAATAAAATAAGTCTATGTAGCCAATGTATGGAATTTCCTGTCTCTACTTTACACAAAAAGCTCTAATACAACCTGATCGGTTTACGTCAAAACCATTCGTTTCACAGTTGTCGAAAACCGTTTGTGCACTCACCATCCCAGTGGAGGGGTCATCTGTCCAACTCCCCCAGGGGAGAGAGGGTAGAAATTGGGAATGTCTGGTCCAGGATGATGCCTGGGCATACCTGCTTCACGATTCAAGAAGAAGCGGATGAGAAAACCACAGTGACGTGTGTTAGTGTGAGACAGACACATCTGGAAAACAGCAGTGTGACATCAATGTGTGCTGCACAGTTGGGCCCTACGGTCCGGTGCGGTGCATAAGCGGATCATGGGATAATTAGGAATGCTTTTGCGCTGTTCTAATAAGCCCCGCTGATATGATTCATGCTGCTTTTGGATGTCAGTTGGTCTGCGGTACTAAGCTTCTCAACTTCACCCCAAACACACGCGTGCACACTCAGACAAACACACATTTGCACCAAGGTCAAGACAGTGTTTGTGCATAAAGACTTAAACCGAGGAGGGAAAAGTGAAGTAAGGGCCTAGGGCTAAATTAAACTGTCAAAAGGGTGTCCGTGGAAGACAACAAAGCCCTAGGGATATATACACAAACAGCAAGAACATTCAGTCTAAAATCAACCCTTGCATCTCCAACTGATCATCTTTCTTTCACATGGAGCTCAGAATGTGTGGTCTGTTACTGCAAAAGGCTAAAATAGGCTTTAAATTACTGCGCTAAGTACTAGATAACATCATTGTCTTCCTTATGCACGGCCTAGATGACATCAGCCAGCAGAAAAGGAAAATCATTTCAGAAACATTTAATTTTTACTTTTGAAATATACATTCCTGGTGATCCTACTGTGCATATTATTCCAAAGGTAAACGTGGTCTACTTTGATTTCACGCCGACTATCTGTGCTTTCTATGCTAAGTAAAATGACTGAAACATTAAACGCTGCACATTTACCTGAATTCTTACTGAAAAAGGCTACTCTCTCACATATTCTTTGTGTAAGTGTATTATCCATTCCGCCCTCGGCGTATTATGTCTGATGAATAAGTGACTCCATGTTTGTGTATGAAAACAGAGCAAGTTTTGGATCATTGGCCAATCTGCTTGTGGCGTGCAGCCTAGTTCAGGCTATTTATAGCTCTCCAGACCTCCTCCACTTCATCACATCCTGTCTGCCCTCTCCCTCGCCAGTTGCCACAGAGGTGAGTGCTAGCCGGAAGGAGCACATATGGAGTTGGGTTCGCGTGCAACAACGCCTGCCAAAAATCTCAACGCCCCTTTAAAACTGTAACCCCACCACCTTTGACAGACTTGGGGGGAAACAGGATTCTACTAAGATTGAATTGTTAGCTTATTAAAGTGTAAGTGTATAGTTCATGTCTCTTCGGATCAGTGATATTAGAGAAATAGTGCTAAAGAACACCAGGAAATAACATTCCAACACATAGCAACAGAGTTAAAGGGACAGTACACCCAAATTGAAAATTCCATCATCATTTATTCAGCCTCAAGTCATCCTAAACCTATTTATTTGATCTGTGGAACACAAAAGATGATAGATGACAAACCCTTTTGATGACCAATGATTTCCATTGTACTGAGAAAAAAATATATTCTCAAAAAATCTTATATTATACAGAATAAAGTCAAATAGGTTTGAACGACATGAGGGCGAGTAAATGACAGATTTGTCATTTTTGGGTGAATATGAATTTTTTTTACCCATATTGTTCCCGGTTTCCCTTTTCCCCCCATTTTCTTTTCCGCTGATGTAACCAAAAATATTAACCAATAATATCAAAGCTTACATTTCAATTCAATAAAATGGATTAAATCAAGCTCAGTCCTATATAATTTTCCACTGAATATTCCGTTTTACTCAGAAACGTCAAAATGCGTTAAATGTATTTTTTAATATTTTGAATCTTGAATCTATTTTGGCTTTCTCTGCCAATGCTCCCACACTCTGGAACAGTCTACCCCTCCACGTCTGCTCTGCCCCATCCCTGCCCATGTTCAAAATGCACCTCTAAACATTTCTTTTCACTAAGTCCTTTGACCCATAAGTCAAAGTTGGGGACTTGTCAATTATAAGAATCATAGTGGAAGCTAATTGGAACTGGTTGCAATTGTGAATTTTGACTATATAATTTAGTTTTATATGCATTTGTGTAGCTCATGGATATTAGATTGAACTAAAATAAAACTAAAACCATTTAATACTTAATGTACAGACCAATGACAGACGTAGTTATAGCTGCTAAATTGTGATTTTAGATGACTTTAATAGTTTGCAATGAACAACAGTAGCGTATTTGTGCGGTTTGCATGCGTTTACCTTGCTTGGGGTTGATGTCCTGTGGGTGGTGTCCCGAGTGTGGGCCGGGGGCGAAGTGCTCGTCACTGTATGTGATCAGAGGGGTGAGGGGGTGAACGGCATGGGACGGCTGAACCACCGGCACCTTATTTGACTGCAAAACACAGAGGAAAAAAAAAACTGATATTGTAACACATCATAAAATGTGACCGAGGCATTCAGACTAACAAATGGGCAACAACCCAAAAAAGTTGAGCATGCACACTTCCAGCTCACCAATGCTGATGTGTGGATTGTCTACTGCAGTAGTTTGGGGCAGAAACGAATGAATAAAGAAGGGGGTTGGGAGAGACAGAGGAGGAGAGAATGAGAAACAGGGAGGGAGGATGGGAACGCCACAGGGCAGAGGCAGACCAGAGGTCTCGGGGCTGAAGATCAAAGGGAATCATTAGCCAGTGAATAAGGGAGTTCATTACAGAGCCCCGGCCGTCTGCGGTGGAACTAAGCAGGGTTAATCACGTCAGCAGCGGACTCAACACACACACACACACACACAGCTCTGAGCTGACTCACAAAGCAGTGCTCTCCACACCACAAAAGGACATCAAGTACACAGTGTGCAAGAACATGTAGCAATTTTTTAGATAATTGGTGAGCTTCTCCTTTACCTGGTCTACATATGATCTATTTCTGTCCAGAATAGTTTATTTATGAGAGACGTAACTGCCAAACTCTGGATTTTCTTTGAGCCCAAAATCAAAGTTGGGGGCTTGTCAATAAAAGAATCTAAGTGGAAGCTAAGTGGTACTGGTTGCAATTGTGGATTTTGACTAATTTAATTTAATTGTTTATGCATTTGTGTAGCTCATGGATAGTATAGTTAACTAAAATAAAACCATAAAAGAACATTTTTGTTACTTGAAATACACAAATAAAATAAAAAAAATAAAAAACTTTAACTTTTTTTTTTCCATAGCAACATTTCTCATTTTCATTTAGTTGAACTTGATGTACTAAAACAGCTAAAACTCAAATAAAAATTAACAAATATTTTATAGATATAAACAAACAGAAAACACTCGACAAAATTAACCAAATCTTTAGTTAAAATTAAAATGGAAAGTATAAAAATAAAAACTATTTCAAAATATTGCTAAAGACTATAATAGAATCTCAATGATACTAAATCAACACTTTGTAGCTTAGATTTAGCAATAAAGCTTTATAAAATATTAAATAGGAAATATATTTTTATGAGGAGACAAATCTCTTTCCCATTGATCGGTGTGGTAGCATGAGAATTATGAAATACATAAAGCATCACTACACATGCACATCCTTCACCATTCATTAATTTGCACTAGCGTGATAAAAACTGTCCTGTATTTGTTAGCCAGCAAAAAAAGACACAAGAACGCACATTTGTTCATTGTGAGTGGACAATTCCCAGGAAGACTTGAAGGCAGCTTATAATCACATCAAATTTCAACAAATGTATTAAAAATGTCCTATGAAATCAATCTGAATACAAAAACAAACACGATTGCCTTAGAAAGAAAAGTGCAAAAAATCATTTATTGATTGCCTACTGTTCCCTAAAACTTAATTAAGGTTCAGCTGTATTGAATCTCCACAACTTTACCCGTCTCGCACGGGTAAGAAGTGACCCACCCGTCCCGTGCCACAGGCAAAACTCCCACAGGCATGAATGAGTGGTTTGTCCTAATTTGGGAGCAAAGGTTGCCGTTTCCGACCAGCTTATTGGCCAGAGAGGCAGGTGTAGGGTGCCATTTCCTCGGCAGACGTACTGCTGTAAAACCATGGGGAGGGAAGAGTGTGTCCGTGTGCGTTTGGATGGGGGCGTTATTTCGGAGTCTCTCAGACACCGGAGCGTCTGAGAGGGAGGACGATGAGATGAATGGCATTCTCTGGAAAGATCCCAGCTCTGATAGCCAACACTAGGAGTTTCAAACACGTCCAAAACGGCTACATTTTCCAAGGCATTTTCTGGGAGTCTTGATGCTGATAATACAAAACTGTATATTTATTTATTACTCAATGCTTTTGAAAATGCCAGATGTAGGACATGCACTTGGATCCTTTGTTGGTCCTGGAAAAACAAATATAGTCCTGGCCCTATCCCTAACCCAAACCCTAGTAAAACCAAAGGAAAATGTTAGGTTGATCATGTTATTGAAGCGCTAAGCTCTAAGTGTATCCCTAAAATATGCTGGGAATGTTGTTCCAAGACCAACAAGGATGTTGAACAAGGAGCATGTCCTATTTGGTGTAGCAAATATTATATTTAACCACTTTTAGAAGGTTATTTCGACCCCACTTTTGGGGTAATAATAACTTAAACGTATATAAACTTTGCTTTACTTCAGTACAAAGGAAACAAATTGTAGCCAGCTGGAAAGTCGTTTTGAGACCAAGAACAAGCCTCTGCCAACCTTTCACATCTGCAGTCAATCGAACAAACTTGAAATTGGTACTGGGCAGACGTTATGTGCCCAATTAATATTCATGAGGCAGGCTGACAAGGTTTATGATGGGTCAGATTCTGCCAGATGATTATTTTTTGTTAAGACTTGTTTATCAGTATGATGGCTGATATAATCTAAATAAGTGAATTCACATGCTTCGAACGAAACACACAAACAAATTAATAACATAAGATAAAAGTAATAACATAAAAATATAACATTATTAATAAATTAAAAACAATAGTAAAACATCTGCTTTGCCCTTTTTACAAAATAATCAAATAAAAAACTAAAATTAGCCTGTTAATAATTCACTCCCTTATGTTGTTTAAATACAGGTTCAACTGATGGTCAGAAGTCACGGCTAATCTGGACTAGTAGTTTTAAAAAGGCTCTTTTGCTACCTTTAGGAAACCTTATCCCTGACTCGCCCTCATTACTAATATGTGACTGGGGGGCAGTAGCTACTGTGAAAGGCCTTCACTGGAAGACTGCACGATAGCATCCTTACCCCCTCTTCATTTTACGCCTCTCAGCTCTTATTGGCTTTTCCTCTGGGAGAGAGATAAGAGGCAGGCATATTTTTCATTTAAGCCCCTAGTCTCTGTCTCCGAGTAAAGGAGAAAAAGAGATACCAAGGAGCGAACGAAGAACTTAAAACAGTTCGAGTTGAAGAAAGGAGTCCAACGCAAGCATCATACAAAAGACACCACAACTCTCCAGTATGCCAATACGAGGTCCTCGACTCACGGCAGCCATGAAAAGTGGGAGCTGGCACTTTGCGTTCCACCTTATTCGATCGGGGCCTCTTTTATGTCCTCTCAGTCGCAGCTGTCAGAGCCCATTTCTCTCAACTTCTTAATAAACTGCCATCTCGGAGCATTGCATGAAGCTACAATTCCAGCAGGGAACCTCAAGACTGCAGTGCCAATTCGTAGGGGCCCCCCGAGGCACAACCTTGAAAAATGCTCACCCTTCCAAAAAAAAGAAAAGAGAAAGAAATAAAATGTCATATTTAAAATACATTCAGCTTTCCAAAAATGTGGTTGCCTTTAATATACGAAGGCAGGGTTTGGTTCTTTTGGCTTTCTGTGGTCTTAAATAAAAGTCACGCAGAGTGATTCACCGCCACTCAAGGCCATTCAAATCCTTCCAGGTGGTTTGAGATCACAGGCCGCGCCACCCAGTTCCCAACCCGACTCAATTGCGTATTAAACTAAAAACACTTTCGCCCAACCCGACCAGGAAGTGGCCGGACACCCCGAATGCCCACAGGAACCCTGTTCGGATGGTGCCATGGCGATTTATCCCCAAGGATCTCTCAGGGGCCAGATTTTTCACAGGCCCGGGCGACAGGATATGGCACGGACGTACCTCCCCCCGTTCTCTCTTTTATTATGAAGAAAAATAATAGGCTTAGGTTTTTCTATTCATATTTGCAGAGAGGCGGTGCCGATTGAAAAGAAGCATGTCCATTTAGGATTTTATAAGCAGGTCTGGCCAACCCTGCCTCTAGAGCCCCTCAGATGTGGTTTAAAAGAAATTTCATTGTGCAGAACCCAAGCTGGCTGAGGGCCTGCAGAAAATCCAGAGGAAAAAAGCAAGAGTGCGGGAAATGGCAAACTTGGGTGCAATGAGTTGGGAGACAAAATGGACACTGTTCATTTAAACAACTTCTCCAAATAAGCACCTCTACCTCAACCAATCAGCACTAAACACTGAAAGCTAATGAAAATGATCAGGTCTAGATGATAACCCCTTTTCTGTCTTTTACAGCAGGATTGAGGTTTAGCATCCAGATATGGCTTTTCTAACCCAAAACCTAACCAGGCTCATTGCAAAAAAAACTGCCTGTGGCGACATTTCTGCAAAATGACATTAATGGCGCTTTTCCACTACACAGTACCAGCTCGCCTCGGCTCGGCTCGACTCGACTCGCCTTTGTTTGGTTTTCCACTGTGTAAAAGTTGTACCTGTACCTGATTTCGGGTACTTTTTTTCGTACCACCTCTGGCGAGGTTCTGAGCGAGCTGAGGCGATACTAAAATGTGACGTGAAAACAATGCCGACTGCTGATTGGTCAGAGAGAATCATCACCATTGCACGCGCCAGATGGAATAGTTTGGCCAGATATAGTTACTAAACTTACTACTATTATTATGGCAACTCGGAAGAATACGCCGTGGTCAAACGAGGAGGTGCAGACATTCCTTTGTTTGGTTGCCGAAGAGGGGATCCAGCGAGAGCTTGATGGGGCAACGAGGAACGAAAGGCGTCGCTATGACGACCGGGTACTATTTGTGGCGATACGTTCTGCAATGGAAAACGGAACGAAAAGCGAGCCGAGTCAAGGCGAGCCAAGGCGAGTCGAGTTGAGCTGGTACTGGTAATGGAAAAGCGCCATAAGTTGCTTCTTACGTGTTTCGCAACACTTTCAAAGTGAAATGTCCAGTGAGTAGCGCTAAAAGCACATCAACTTTTATCCGAAACAGATCTGGTAACGCTTTAAATATGTTGGTTGTTGTACGTATTGCGGCAGTTCAGAAAGGAAATGTCTGGCGAGTTGCACTAAAAGGTTAATGCTCCAACACGTTTGAAACAACTACACTAATACTAACGCTAAACCGAACCAATAGTGTTGACAAAAGCCAGCGTTGAGATAAAACAA